TTGGGGGAAGGAAAGAAACGGCTTGAACACTTTGAGCAGCAGCTCCGAGCGGAGCCTGGGAGCTCGCCCACGAAAACTGGTCTCTTTAAAAGCGCTTTCGAGTGTCCCCTCTGCAGAGCAGGAAGGAGATTCCCAGGCGGGGACAAAGGCAAAAGGCCAGCAGGCACCACCCGAAGGATTCGCACTTCTGTGATGGAAGATGGGACCAAGCGGGTGGCTTGGGGGTGACCCGCTCAGCGCTGCCCTCTGCCCACAGGCTCCCTCAACCACGCGGCCAGCAAGAAGCTCGACCTCGAGGCCTGGTTCCCCGGCTCGGGCGCTTTCCGTGAGCTCGTGTCCTGCTCCAACTGCACAGACTACCAGGCCCGCCGGCTGCGCATCCGCTACGGACAGACCAAGAAGATGATGGACAAGGTGAGGGACGAGCTCCTGTATTTTCCTCTCTCGCGTCTGTAGCATTTCATGGGGAGATTTCTCAGTTCTGGGCAAATCCAGGGCTATTTTTACACAAGGGCATGAGGCGCATTGCGGTGCCTCACGGCGCCCGCTCCCCTGCCGCAGGTGGAGTTCGTGCACATGCTCAACGCCACCATGTGCGCCACAACCCGGACCATCTGCGCCATCCTGGAGAACTACCAGACGGAGGAGGGAATCCGCATCCCGGAGAAGCTCCGAGACTTCATGCCCCCAGGTAGGACACCCTTCCCAGTCTCTCCCAGAGCAGCCTGGATCCCGGAGGATTTGCCCGGGGCTTGTTCCCTTACAGTGCAGCCAGGGGAAGGAGCTGGGGGCTCAGGGATGAGAGGTGGGGCCTGGCAGAGCCCTGGGCAGTCAGGCATGATCCATCCTGCCTCTCTTCCCGCAGATCTCCGCGAGCTGATCCGCTTTGTGAAGCCAGCCCCCATCGAGCAGGAGCTCTCCAAGAAGCAGAAAAAGCAGCAGGAGGGTGGCAAGAAGAAGGCGCCGGGAGGAGAGCGGGTGCTCGAGGAGCAGATGAAGAACATGGGCGTGAGCAGCGCCTAGACCCCGGCCCGTGCTACCAGGGACCCTTGGGGCCTCCTCCATCAGCTCAGCTTTGTCCCCGGGCTGTGCCCGTCACCCTTGCTTTGGGGCACTGCCGGGTGCTGAGCCAGTGACTCGGGGCTGCTCCACTCTGCTCCATCCTGCTCCCCGGGGCGAAGAACGGGGGATATTTGGTCTCCGGCGTCGCTGTCCGTCCCCAGCGCGGGGAGGGTGGAAGGGGACCGCGCGCCCGGGCTCCGCTGTCCCCGCGGGTTCCCTGCAGCCCCGGCTCTGCCGCGGCGCCAACTTGTGTCCTGGTCAATGCAATAAAGCAAAAAAACCTCCAGGAGCCACTCGGCTGTGCGGGGGCACCAGGTTGGGCACTGCGGTGGCAGTGGGGCAGCAGCGGGGGGGACAACAGGGGAGCCCCGGGGGGCTGGCGGCAGCTGCTGCTGCTCTGGCTCCTCTCCCCCCAGGGCAGGAG